AGTTCTTACGCATAGTTCTATAGGACTAGCACTTAATTGAACATTGAAAATTAATAGGGGCACGCGAGTGTGGGCCATACACCTGCCAAGCCCTACCACCTCCTGGATTTCCCTCGCGACTCGCGAAGTAGGTGAACCCCGCACGAGGGCACAATAAAAATGAAAATCCCTCAAAAAGTTTTAAGTGCAACGATGAGACTTGTGGGTTTTGCATCTAAAATGTCAAGTTTAACAAGTTTCGAAGATATAATTTTAAGCATTTTTTGTGTCGGTCGTACATAGGAAATAATTGATTTTTATTGGTAGCTAGTACTAAGTGTCAACATTGAAACTTAACTATTTTTTAAAGTCATCAAAGTATATTCAATTGGTTCTTATTTGAAAGAGCTGGTCACGAGAAACACGAATATGAAATATAGAACTTATTTTGAATTTTTTGTTTAAATTATACAGGACTTTGAAAATCGGAAGCCAAAATAAATGCCGGCACCAAGTACCTAAGTGCCCCTGCACTTGCGTGCTGCAAATCCTCGTCTGATTGAACATATATGTTGCATGCGGTTATTATTTATTTATGTGTAAGTGAACAAAAGAGAGTTGTTAGACCAAAGTGTGTTCTTAAACTATGCTATATGACCCTATATTGTGCCTTATATGATAAAAATATTACTGTTAAACTGAAAAAAGATTGCATGGCAACCAAAAACATTGCCGCGACAAAATTTGTTTTGGCATTGCAAAATCTATCACTTGAAGGCGTTAATAACTGCCCGCCATTGGTGCAACATTAGCAACGGCGGGCGACTCGAATGTCACTAATGACCAGTTAGCAATGGTGGGAGGTCAGTGATGGGCGCCCCTAATTGTCTCACCCATCACTGATGGCCTTTTTTGTGTTCGTCGCTGCCAGCCTGTTCTGCAGCAGTAGAACCACATCTCCTTGTTTATCAATCAAAGAGTGACCGAACGGGCGTATGAAGGATGCCGAAGATCTCGACTGGTTGAGAGACACCATGGTACATGTGGAGCCAGGAGATAAAACAAGTTGCCAAAGAAGGACCTGGAGAAATCGGCACCACCGCACCCACATTCGTCCTTGTCCGTTTAATATTCACACCACATGGCCGGACTAGCTAGTTGGATTAATTAGTTATTGACCGTAAGTACATTGTGTTATGAGTCAGTCAGTCCATCAGTACATTGAGGCTCTCCTTACACTAGCAGAAAATAAGGCTTTGGTTGAGACCAGGATAAGGGCATTAATCCTGGTTCACTTATGAACCTGGACCAAAGGGGGCATCAGTCCCGGTTCGTGAGGCCAGGGCGCCGGCCTGGCCTCTCGGGCCATTGGTCCCGGTTCGTCTGGTCCTGGTTCGTTCGGGGCCATAGGGTTGGCGGTCCGTTCTGTCCCGTTCCCATCCTCACCGCTGTCGCTCACCCACATCGATCTCGTCACCGACATCACCATGGTGAGCCTGTTATTCTTATCTTCTTTCTAAAAGAAAAAAAATCTTACTTGAATTATTTAGATAATACTTGTATAATTTGCTTACATTTATTATTGTTTGTTATTATATAGTGCCATGGTTTTGGTATCCGCCCCCGTCGACCCTCGTCCTGTCTATGATTTGAATGTGGTATATTATCTTTTATAACTATTTATTTCATTTAGTTTTTATAAAAATTATGCCTACCAAGGTGACATATTTGTTTTTTTCTAGGAGGTATGTGAACTGGACATTCCAACCGACCCTCTGGTCGAGAGGTTAAATTTAGCTGAAAAAGAAAATAATTATTTGAATTTTTTTTGAAAAGAATTGAGGAGGAGAAGATGGAATTGGAGTTGCATGTTGCGGACGTCATAGATGAACACAAGATCAAGATGGATGCAATGCGCTTGAAGATTAGAAGGATTAGAAAAATATGCCTTTCATACCGAGGCTTGGTATCATTATGCCGTTTGACCAATTGTTGCGATTATGATCGCATTTGTTGTTGCATTGAAATGTTTTACATAGTTTCAATATATGGTTTAATTAGATGCTTTAGAGAGCTATAGGTTGTTCAATGAGAACTATGTATGAACTTTATGTATTTATTTTTTCAGTAATAACATTTGATCGCTACTGTACTTTGGTTTTAATGTGATGATGAACTTCTATTAATTTGATCACTTCTCTATTCATGATGTTCTGTAATGGTTTTGACACACTTAATTATATATAATGCACGCAGATGACTCGACAATGGATGTACGGTGACAAATGCACCTCCGAGTACATTAAGGGCCTGCATAATTTTCTCGAAGTGGCTGAGGCAAACAAGCAGAATTGTTTTATTTGTTGTCCATGCCTTATCTATGAGAATACGAAGGATTACTCTAACTCAAAAACCCTTCACATCCACTTGCTTGAGAAGTTGAAGTTATATCGCATGTTATGATGGACCAAGCACGGAGAAAGAGGTGTCAAGATGGAAGACAATGAAGAAGAAGAGGATGATGACAACTATCCGCCCCCTGAATACGGTGATGCTGCAATAGGAGAAGCTGAAGATCAAGTGGAACAAGACGATGTGCCCGATGATGATCTTCGCCGGGTCATTGTTGAGGCAAAGAGATAATGCCAAAGTGAAAGGGAGAAGTTGAAGTTCGATCGCATGTTAGAGGATCATAAATAAAGGTTGTACCCAAATTGTGAAGATGACAACACAAAGCTCGGTACCACACTGGAATTGCTGCAATGGAAGGCAGACAATGTTGTATCTAACAACGGATTTGGCTAGCTACAGAAAATATTAAAGAGGGCACAAAGAGGACCATAAGAAAGACGGGAAGTTGAGAGTACCCGCTGACGGGCCGCAGTGGAGAAAAATCGAGAGAACATGGGGGATTTTGTAGATGATGCAAGGAACATATAGTTTGCAGGTGACGGGTCGCAAGGAAAGAATCATTGACTCTGACAGATGGGGCGCACCTATGACTTAAAAGTGAAACAAACAGTCAAACTACTCAATGTCACGTCAGCTTTGACCGGTTGGCCTGACCCGTCATAATCTAGCTTAAAATGCACAAATTGGTCACTCGTTAGAAGTGGTAGCTTTTAGCAAACAAAGGCAACTAGGAAGTTCTGCGGGACTTTTTAAATTGGTAGTTCTGGGAGACAGATGTCTGAATTGTGGAAGAATTTCTAGATTTGTGCCCCTGGTTGCTTTGTTGTGCTTAGTTTTGCTCAAGCTAACTATTTTTCTCACTTTCCCCTTCCACCGCCCCACCCATCCTCACCAAAGCCTAAATGGGGGTTTGCCGTTGGTCAAGGGTGTTAACTATATGACCCTATATTCTGCCTTCTATGATACTACTATTACTGTTAAACTGAAAAAAGCTTGCATGGCAGCCAAAAACATTGTCGCCACAGCAATTTTTCATTCGGCATTGCAAAATCTATCATTGGTGGAAGTTAATAACTGCCAGCCATACGTGCAAACGTTATCAATGGCGGGTGACTCGCCTGTCACTAGTGACCAGTTAGCAACGATGGGAGGCTGGTGGCCGGCGCCCCTAATTGCCTCACCGATTATTGATGGCTTTTGTATTCGTCACTGGTAGCCTGTACTGCAGCAGTAGAACCACATCTCCAAGAGCGGCGTTTTAGCGCCCGAGCTCAGATGAGCTCTGGCAAAAGATTTTCTTTTTTTGCAAAAAATAGGAAATAAATTTAAAAAAATCCATTTTCTTTACAAGCAAGATGCTTGTGTCCGTGATCTTCATACAAATTTTGGTAGAGTTTTGACATTCAAGGAGCAGGCGACAAAAAAGACAAAATTCGGTTCTGTGAGTAAGGTTACTGTTCATGCACTGTTCTGGCTGGTTTTCTCTTTTTTGTCACGAGCTCAACACATGTTCAAATAGGATGAAAATTTACACGCACAACGTGCACTCGAGCATCTTACATTCAAAAAAAGTTCAAATTATTTTGAATTTTTTTGCTATTTTTATCACGCTACTGTTCACCAAGTTCTTCTAGACCTGGGCACCAAATTGGATATTTGCACATCTCCTTGTTTATGAATGGAAGAGTGACCTAACGGCCGTACGAACGATGCCGAAGATGACCGAGTGGTTCACAGACACCGTGGTACATGTGGAGCCAGGAGATAAAACAAGTTGCCAAAAGAGGACCCGGAGGAACCGGCACCACCGCAACCACATTGGTCCTTTTCCTTTTAATTTTCACACCACATGGCCGGACTAGCTAGTTGGATTAATTAGTTAATGACCGTAAGTACATTGTACTCCCAGTCAGTCAATCCATCAGCTTCCATGCGAGCCTTGTTATTTTTCCACACCTCTCCAACCAAGCTTATTTTACGGTTATATACCAATATCAAGGAAGGTGCTTGTGTGACCTCTCAAGTACTGTATGTAAACTCTTTGTCTGCTACAACGAGTTGGTAGGTACGCCGTGCCGTCTGGGCTCACGACAATGCTGAGGCCGAACTTGCCAAAAAAGCGACGTGGAGAAACCGGCACAGTTGCACCTACTCTCGTCCTCTTGTTCTTAGTTTTAGCACCACACGGGCGGACCCTAAGTACATCGTGAGTACATCGTGCTTCGAGTCAGTCAATCGATCAGCTTGCGACCCTTAGTTTGTCCATACCTCTCCAACCAAGCTTATTTAAAGGTTATACCGATGTGCAGGAAGGTGCAGCTATAGCCTCATCTTATCAAGTATCCATATAGTAATACATATGCTCCAAATCTGCTAATTAAGATGAATAAATGCCAGCCGTCCGGCGAATCAACATGAATATATGGTTTAATCACGGGGACCTAGCTCGCTTGGTCAAAAATAAGCATATAGGGTTTACTTCCAAGACCATTGCAGCTGCCTTCTTAACACCCTGGGGTTAAGTCCTTGTGCCTTACAGGCTGACGATAACTGAGCCGTGATAGATCCTCTCCACTTTTGTTGTGTGTTCAGGCTGCTGCTTTCAATCTATGGAGGTCAGATAATTCGGTCGAATCCATCAAATCATATGATTTCCTCTTCTTCCTTTCTTGCAAACGAATGACCTAGCTCGTTACTATCATCTTCTTTGTTTATATTTTATGCATACAAATATTTACTTTATTTTTTCATAAGTTAACTGATTAATCAAACCATTAGACTGACATAGTCGATCGATTCTTCACAATGGCCAGAAATTATTGACGGATCGCCGGACCTTCAATAATCGAGCTGAAGGTGAGGTCAAGTATATCAACAAATATGCTGTATTCATGGGTTACCTATCCATGGCCATCAAAGGCATGGGTTTCCTCGTGCTTACCTGGACCACTGTGGTACTTCTCGGCGGCTTCGTCTCTATGTTGCACAAGAAGGATTTTTGGTGTTTGACATTCATTACCCTTGTACAGACAGCTGGGTTAGTTCTCTAACATTTAAGTCATATTTGTATATATTTACTAACAAGACACGTTCCTTCAATTTGTAGCACCGACTAATTTTACGGTAATGTCATACTACTGCTTGTAGTGTGTAGTATCAATCTACTCGAACGGTAGATGTAACGAGCATTCTAGACAACTCAATTTTCTTTCAATCGGTATTTCCATACCTGCAGTCATCACACACGGTACCAATCCTGTTCAGATCTCGCCCATAATGTCACCAGCTGCTCGCCCCCATCGCCACTTATCCTTAGTACAGTGACAGACGTACCAGCGCCCATTCGCCTCGCCTCCCGCTGCGCCAATGTTTTAAATAGCGGGCTATGCCAAATAGAGGCGGATCTCAAGATCAGCTATAGCGGGCGCTATAGCGTTGTTATAGCCTGCTATTTAAAACTATGCGCTGCGCTGCTTCTCACCACCGCCATGAGCTAGGTTAGGTAACTAGCGCCTACCTGCAACTAGCCCAGACACGCACATGAACAGGCTCATGCTTTCATGGCCGGTTGTGCTTCAATTTAGGGACACGAAGTCTGAAGAAAATCTGCCCAAGCTAGCCGAGTGCACCGGTCACCCACATGAGCTAGCCCATGCCTCCATGGCCGGCCGTGCTTCAATTTTTGGGACACCGATGCTGAATCAATCCGGCCATCTTTTCTTGTGCGTGAGGGTAGGGAGACACAAGTTGCAGGAACAGTAGCTGCCTGGAAGGGTTGGTGATCCGTGTTACCGTGTACAAGATCGTTCATATTTGTGCAGGCTCAACCTCTTAAGCGTTTTTATTGCACCGGGAGGCCTACGAGCATCGAAGGCTACTTTATCTCTTTATATTTAGCAAGTTCTTCTCACCTCTCCAACCACGTGATCCATCTGGAGCAATATACTATATGCAAATGTAAATGTGAAATTCTCGTTGTTTTGTGTTGTATTGATTCAACCCTTGTGGGAATATATATAAAGTACACGAGGGATAGAGGCTTCTGGTACAAGACATGTAATACATGCCTTAAACATGTTCGATCACTATATCTTTATCTTTATTTTTAAAACAAATGTGCATTCTAAAATTCCCCTCAGCCTTAGAGGGAGTGAAGCAGACGATTATGACTGAATTTTAGGTTTTGAGCTTCTATCGTCTTCTCCATTGCGTCATCATTAGCTACGTCTTTGACATGCCGGCACCTAGAACGATGACTTCGTCCCCTTCTTGTGCCTTTCTTGTCTCTCCTCTATTACCTCCCGTAGTCACAGCAGGGGTGACGTGGACGCTGTTGAATGGATTACTTGCCAATGAGTAGCCATAGACGTCGCTATGTATGTCGATGTTGAGGTAGTTGATCGTGGTGATGTAGCCGTGGTCGATGGCATAGTCATCGTGGATGATGAACCCGCATAAAGCTATAGGCCAAAAAATGCGGTATAAGAGAGCTGCAGACATGGACGATGCACCTTACGGATGTTAGTGAGTGTCGTCGACACTGATTTTGCCGATTTCGCTAGGACAGGGGTAATCCATCAAGCACACATTGGTTTTGCCAGGACCGTGTGGCCATCTAGGGGTCGTCGCTATAGTGACGTCATGTTGATACAGTCGTGTCATCATAGATGACACATTCGATGCCCTCGTCGATGACGCATTTTTGCCGTCATCAAGGTCTCGTCTTTCAAATATACTACCAGAGGATGCTGGAGATGTCCATCTCATGGACGTGGCAGCGGCGGTGTCTTGATGGAGATGCTGATGAAGATCACTTGATGATGACCTTGGCGATTAAGTATAGGCGATGGCATATTGGTGATGATGAGTCGCTTGAAGGCGTCCCTCCGCAAGTCTGATGAAAAATTTCATATCTTTGTACACCGACCTGACGTGCCGACGGTGCATGTTAAGGCTGCTTCTCCTAGATGTCCAAATATGAGTGTCTTTCTTTCTTTATCTTACCATCACATGCTAGCGGCCGAAACCACTCCGTAAAAGGAATGTACAAAGGATACCATTTCATCAGATCAAAGAGCATGCGATGGATGTCCTTCCAACATATTGTTTTCCTCTGCTCGAGATGACGTTGATATACCTATCTATCAGTCCATCACCTTGGTAGAAATGAAGATGTAGCTACCACTTATCGCAAACAATAACCTTGATGGCATAATGTTTTTTGTGCATCACAAACCCAAAGTAACAAGAGGGAAATCAACATCACTCCTACTCCACATGACGGAGCATCCTCAAGAAAAGAGGAGATTGATTCCATTACCAAAGATACAAACAAATCCATATGGTTCATGATTACAATGATGTAGCAAGTATGAGAGACGACGTCCCAAGGTCACATTTTAGTCGGGAAAGGATGAGGCAGAGTTTTGGATCGGTTCGATCTTCTCTATTTGTAGCACCCCCCCCCCCCCCTCCTATGTTTTTTCTTCAACAACACACAAATATGAACTCCAAGAAACTGATCAAATATAGACTTAAAGCATGAAGACTATGGAGAGGCCAGGGGTAATCCTCCTTTTAGAAAAAAATGAAGACAACACAGAAGCAAGCAATCGTGGCCAGAGGGGAGTACCAGAGTAAGTGTCACACCCCCTGCCTCGCGAACCGAACAGACCCAACATGGTCTTGTGTCCTTTTGTGTTCTACGCTTTCTCATCATTTGAATCATCAGTATTCAAGCTTTCTAGAAAAAATGCTAATCGGTTCGAGCTGATGGCCAGCTCCCTTATTTGCCTCTCACAGCTCTGTCACAAGACACGGGATTTTGGTGAGCTACTGTTGCACACAGCCTGCAGACTATTTTATATTTTATGTCTCTGTATTTCCTCTTGTCTGTGAAAATATGAGTATAACACTTATATATACTCACGCACGCATTAAATCCAGCCTGACCATTAAGGGCATGTACAATGATTGATAATATAGTCTTACTTTAAGTCTTGCATTTAATTTAGAGATGATAAAAAAAATATGTCTACAATGAGTCATCTATAAGCCTTGTGTTCAATAACTAGCTATTTCTAAAAACGTGGCGGGACAAATTGTGCTAAGAGATAATTTTTTGTCTTCTCTTAAATAAAAGAAGACAAGCCTTTTTCTTATGATTTCTCTTTCCTCCACCTCATCATATTCTACGTGGCATTTCTAAGATAGAACTATTGTACATGCTCTAAGTCCTTCTCCTCATTGTCCTTCTTGTGTAGACAATCCCATGCAAAATGCCCAAGATTCATACAACTGAAGCACTGTACCTTCATCGTGCCCTGTCCATGATTCATCTTCTTTGTGCGTTGCGTCCACTTCTCTTCCATGAGGAGTATCCCGAGTGCCTCCCTCGCTGCTGCTCTCTTCATCCATGTCAAAGCTCTCCTTCACGATTAGAAAGCGGCTCGTCAGCTCCTCAATCGTCATTGTCTATTGGTCGAGTAGGGGCTTGATAGAGTGGGCAAGCTGCCGGTAGCGGTGCGGATCTTAGAGGAGAAACTTGAGCACGGCCTTGTGCTCCGTGATGTTGTCGCCGAGGGCCTCCATGTCGTTCACGATGCCGGTGAGGTGGATCCCAAGCTCCTCCGTCTTCTCACCGTCCTTGAACTTGAGATTCTAGAACTCCCTCCACATCGTTCACGATGCCGGTGAGGTGGATCCGAAGCTCCTCCGTCTTCTCACTGTCCTTGAACTTGAGATTCTAGAACTCCCTCCACATCGTTCACGATGCTGGTGAGGTGGATCCCAAGCTCCTCCGTCTTCGCACTGTCCTTGAACTTGAGATTCTAGAACTCCCTCCACACCATGAAACGATGCCGGTGAGGTGGATCCCAAGCTCCTCCGTCTTCTCACCGTCCTTAAACTTGAGATTCTAGAACTCCCTCCTCATCGTTCACGATGCCGGTGAGTTGGATCCGAAGCTCCTCCATCTTCTCACCGTCCTTGAACTTGAGATTCTCGAACTCGGAATGACGAATCTGCATCGGGATTCACGGACGCGCTCGGACCCCATCGTCAAGGTTTTGAGGGCGTCCCACGCCTCCTTCATGGAGTCCTTCGCAGCCAACGAGCGCAACATCACTGGCGGCACGTCCTGGAGGATGATGCCCGACGCTTCATGGTCGTCGCGGTTGTCCCTCTCATGTGCCTTGTGCCTGCAGCCGTACATGCCTGACGAGCGGTGCAGCTCGTGCGGGTAAGCATTGGAAGGTGCACCATGGACGATCCCTGCCGGACCACACGCTCGACAATGTGAAGCTCACCACTGCCGCTGCTGTCGGTGAGCCACGCCTTCGGTGGAGTCCTCGTTTCCACGAGCTTCTTCTTCGTCGACTCTGCCACGTTGGCCACCTCATCTCCGTCTCCTGCCATCATAGGTGCAAACCAACGTGGCTCTAATGCTAATTTTTTGTGCCGATGGCTAGCTCCCTTCTTCTTCCTAGCTGCCTCTCTCAGCTCTCTTAAGAACACAGCAGGCACAGGGGTTAGACACAGCCAGACTCTTTTCTGTCTCTGTATTTCATCTTGTCTCTGCAAATATGATTATAAGACTTAAATATACTTACGCACGTACTACACCCCGCGAAGGGACCAAGTAACATACTCACACATGACCACCATTTTCTCCAAGACCCACTCCAGGATATACACAACCGGCGGCATCGGCTAACCAATTTACCCATCCAAACTAATTCACCTCTTGTCTTAGCTTCTTCCGGTCAAGCTCCAACCTCCCATGCTCCTCGTTATTTCACACGGCCATGCCGGCCATATCCCACTCTTAGAATTAAACATGACGCTATTAGTCCATACATGTACGTGTTAATTACAAGTGAGTGTATGCGTGTCTGACTACCCCTTGTACTAACAACGAAAAAGATCAGAAAAAGAAATAGAGCAAGGCTCGATAGGAGCCTTTGGCCATCATATCGATCTGTGTTTTCCCATCGCCATGTTACGCACGAGTTCCGCCGACGGAGCCGAAGTGAATCGATCGCTAGCTTGCTCACGTACGGAAGCTACGGCAAGGCGTACCTAGATACGCAAGTCGCCGGCTAGACACGATCCAGCAGCTTGCCTGCTTGGTTGCTAGCTAGCTAGCTTTGCACGTATGTACGTGTAGTTCCTGGGTGAATTGATCTAGCCATCAAAAGCCAACACCCACAGCATCCCAAAATCATGTCAGGCTACATCGCACAACCTCACATCTCGCTTTCCTTGCACCTGAGCCGAACTATGGTTGAACAAACTCCCTAACAAACTAAGGTACATTCAGAATAAAAACAACACTAATGCAGATCCATGATCAATATTTAAAAACCTAAGATAACCATGAATGTTTCACTAAAAAGTGGCAAATAATAATGAACAATAATGGTGCAAATAGCATGAAAAAACAACAATATGCCATTTAAAACATAACACCTTTTGTAGGTAATACCCCTGGGGACATATGGCTCAATGGCGCCACGGCTTTCCGGGGTGTCCATTGGGCTATATGGCTTTCCTTCTTCTTTTTGCAGGATTGATTTTCAAGAATTTTCTGAAATTTCCATTTTTTCCCGTTGTTTTTCAATGTTATCAACAAAAATGATAAACAAGATTGTCTCTGAGTGAATCTCAAAATATAACAATAATACATAATTAGGATTCACGAGCAGACCAGGCCCCTACCCCAATATATTTTCTTAAGAGAGTGCGTACTGAATTATTCTCATAAGCAAGCTAGTATTGTAGTTTTCACATGGCAACAACAGATTTTTCTTATAACTGATTATCAATACTTCCCTTCTATGAAAATCTTACCCTTGTTTTGCCTATATCTAACTTCAAATATAAAACAGGATTTTCGATGTTGTTCTGAATGAAAAACTACATTGTATGAAGAATTCAGCCATTGGCATGATTAAGGCAGTTTTTTTTGGCATGACAAAAAACACGAACTCTACTCGGGCATTTGTTGGACGCTCAGTTTTGGCATGTATTTTGATACTGGTTCAAGTAATTGTATTGGCCGCAGCATTGTGCCCTCTCGCAATTATCTACATGTTTGGGATATTGATGTCTTCAGGGATTTCATTGTGGCGTCTGATAGAGCATGATTACTCAGTGGAGGGCTTAAATGGAGAATCATCAAACCTTGAGCCAGCGATGACCACTCTGTACTATCTTGCTCTGCTCCAAGGTGTCATCTTCTGTTACAGATTTGTGTTGTGTCGCAGTGGGGAGAGGTTGGCTAAGCAAGTGGCAACTAAATCTCATGTCTTGGAATTGCCAGTGGTTCACCACTACCTACACACAATGAAGACTGGATGTGAAAAGGACCCATCATTTGCAAAAGAAAGGAACCTTGTTACACATGCTATTAACTTGATCGGTTCCAATTCACCCATTGACTGCATTTTAGGGGTGAAGATCTTGTACACATCCATATGCATTGTGGAGCGGGACTCAAAGGACAATGTAAGAGGGCATCACATGCTTATGAAACATTTAGTTGTGTCTGGATCCTCATCCACACATATACTCCACAATCTGCTTGGGATGCTTGATTCAAGAGGTACACATAACAGAGAGATGAGGGAGCAGGCTGCAATGATAGTGGATCACCTTGCATTCAACATCAGTTTGGAGCAATTCCCTCATGGTATTCAGCAAATATCTTCCTTGATTGGGACATTTGAACAATATAGCATAGCAGAGCCATTTGAGCGAGACTACCTATGCGAAAAATATCAGCAGGACTTGAAACTACTAGTTACTCATCATCTCCCTTTACCAACTGTTGAACTTGGGGAGGCCTACAAGAAGTTGTTACTGAAAGGCCTATGTATCCTCCGAAAGCTTGCAACCGACGAAAAAAACTGCAGAGTCATGAGCAACACCCAAGATCTGCTCTCCAAGATCATGGCACCTATCACCAATGACCTACTGAAGCACACAACCGTTGATCATGGTCCATGGTCAGATGTAGTAGAGGAGTCAATGGAACTGATGGTCCAGTTTACAAGTGCTTCGGGGGAAACCGGGGCCAAGTTACGCCGTGAAATCTCAACCTGTAAAGAAGCAATAAGGACATTGCAAAGGATTCTTAGGTGTAATGGATGTAGTGAAGTGTTGCACCAACAAGCCATCCGTATTCTCACAAGGTTATACATGGATACTACTCAAGCCAATAGACCAGTATGTTCTGTTGTTCTCCAAAAAGAAGATTTTCTTAGGATGGTGGACATGTTCATGAGTGGTAAGAAGTGTCATAGGTCCATTAGAGAATATGCAGGAGCAGCATTGTCAGAGATATGTTTCCGTGGCGGAGTTAGTGATGATGATGCCACAGTTGCCATACTAAAAAGTAATGATGTGATTCAGCGTCTCACCCACATACTTCTATATGATGAAAATGAGACATGCAGAGAAGAATCAGCTAAAATACTCAAGCACTTGTGTACTCACCGCACCAATGACGAAGAATGTCTTGACAAACTTAAGAAAGCAATCTTGGAGGTAACTAAACCTTGTCAAATATTAATTAACCTTTGTTCTACTAATTAATACTAATACACATAAAAATGGCCTCTTCTATACCAGTTAAGAATGGTTGATTCTTTACCTTTGCAGGTGCTAGAAGCTATATGTACTTACAAAGACGAAACACTTGTAGGAAAAGATTCTGACCAATGTGGGTTCAACAAAGTAGAAACCGACATAGAAAGTCAATACAATGATGTCCGAGGAAAAGGAGTTACCTCTTCCTCCTCCTCTTGTCCACAAAAGGATGAGAACAAGGTAACTAAAATTCGTTTTTTGCTATTTATTGTCCATAAACTTAAATAGTGATCTCTTTTAGATTATCTAAGAATGTTAATTCACTGCCATTGCAGGTCCTTGTAAGCATGTTTGGTTATAAAGATAAATCAAATACTGGAATAGAATCTGACCAGGGTGGGTTCGGCATAAGAATTAGCTCTTCTTCCTCTTCTCATCCGGAAAACAATGGGAGAAAGGCATCCCAGCAACCAGTTCTGTCGGTGACCTTTCTATCATCTTTTATATCTCTTTGTGGGACGGTCTACGACATGTTCATTTGTGAACCAGGTCCAGATTTGGCTCTTCAATTCCATTCATTTTGCTTTCTAAACAAGCTGAAGGAGATTGTTGTGAAACAAAGTGATGTGACGGTTGGAAACCTATCATTGTTCAAGGCTATCGCTAAGATGGTCATATTACTCCTGAAACACAGCGGCAGCAAGATCGTCTATCAAGAGGACATTAAGAGCTTGATAAAAGCACTCTCCACTGCTTCCAATAATATGTTGTATCTCGACTACTCCATGGTTTTCAGCTCCACGAGCAAGTCTGAATTCAGATCGAAGCTTGGTGGGTGTACTCTCATGTCCCTCGTGACAGAAGCGCAAGAACTGATGATGTCATCTACCCCTGTGAGTGGCTGAATTCAGTGGCTCCATATACGCAGTATTGTGTCCTATCGTATAATTAAACAGGTCGTTCCAGATTTTGATTAATGTCCTTGTGACAAAATGTTATGTAGCATCTGTATTGGCGTGTATTCCCTGAGTGAACAATCATTGTATACCAGCAATGTATTTTCTCTGACCAAAATGTGTCTGATACCCAAGCTGGAGGGTTGATCTAAACTTGCATGTTGCCGTGCTCGTGAAATAACTGCAATTAATAAATAATTTATGGCTACAACTTTGATGTTTATATATGCCGACCGATATTTTTATTCTACATCCAAGTCGCTTTCTTTCATATCGGTGTGTAGTGCAGGCATGCAGCAGATGACTATCTTGTCACTTCTGCTCTGTGGTTGTTCATGGCATATATCCAGGAACCTTTCACTCCTTGAAGGCATGGCGCTTGCAAGGATGTTGCGCTGGACCTGTATCAGAATGTGGTAAATGAGATTATCGACCAATGGAATTTATGTTCTCACCATGAGTGCTAAACTTTGATGACATCAAGCATCGACGAGCAACATTTTTATATGGTCATTGACGAGCACGATGGTTCTTGTTCAAACATGAAAGCAGCAAGTCTAACAAGGACACAATGTCATAGCAAAATTAAGCACCATCTCTGCTGATTGTCCGACTTGTCTGGTTCTTAGAAATGCCACAAAAATGACGATAACCCCCCTTGTTGGCAAATCCTTGATCATATACCCCCCGCCGCTGTCTCTGACATGTGGGGTTTAAGTGGCAGGGGGGGTTATCGACGTCAGGAGATTAGCGTTTATGGCCAGGAGTGCGGCTCCCTCAAGCATACATACACTTGACGTCATCAGCAAATCCCCTGAATATTTTCATGATGCACATGACAAACAACATGATAAGTGGTGTTGTGCAAAAACATAAAGGTGAAATGATTTTTGAAGTGTACTCAAGGTTTTCCCAATTTATTAGACAACAGAAATATCTACCTAGTTGCCACTATCTCTTTACATCTCTGATGTCGTTCCTCGTCAGTGATGCATAACAAATATTGCCTTAGGATGAAGATAACAAAGTACATTTTAGTACTCAATGATAGTATGTGCATAATAGCATTATTTTTTACTTGCTGATGTATGCGTTTGAAACTATAATCCAGGTCAACACTTAATTTGGTTGCAAACGTATTAGACAGGTCCACAAATGACAATCAGTCTGTAAGAACATTCATACGAAATGTTGACGATTACATATCAACATCGATATTCTGAAAAGAAATTACATAAGAACAATTTCAAATAATAAGCCATTGGTTACATAAAACACATATCACACTATTGGGAAGTGGCCTAGTAGTGGCGGGCGCCAAATAGGCATTAGTGGCGTGCTATGAGCCTTCGCAAGCACGCCACCGACCTCTTGCCACTGCTAATAGGCCACTAGCGACGGTCCAAGGTCCGCCAATAATAATTGCTTAGAGGTAGCGGGCATGAAGTAGCACCCGTCGAAGGGGAAACTGTGCCGAGCCGCCGAGCCGTGGAAGCCGACCTGCCAGCGGTCGAACTCCATGTCCGCGAGCTTGGCCATGTGGAAGGTCCCGAGCCACCGCCGGGTGTGGCTCTCCCGATCCGTGATCTTGGCGACCCACGTCCCCCAGTGCTGCTATCGGACCCCGACATAGGTCCTCGTTCACGGCCAGGGCAGAGGGAGGACGGGGAAGTCTTCGAACCGACGTATAGGCAGGGCGGTGGGCAGATTGGGCGACCAACGACGCGGCTCGATGAAAAGCCCGTGGAGGACGACCCGCGCGCGTGGCGGTGCGGATCCGTGCTGCGGATCAGCGGCGGGGACGGGCGGCCACCATGTCCGGCCATCGGAAGGGCGGGGGGCACCCGATGAACAAAATAATGGAACCCTTGCAAATTTACATTTCAGAGTAACGGTTTCATGTCTTAGTTCATTGTTTTCACTATGAAATAGGAATAGCTTGATGTATTCGTAGTACATACTCAATACTGAATGAGTTGCTATTTTGATCTGATAAGGAATAAATGTGGTAAGACTTATTTTTGTTCAATGAAGGGGCATAAAATACTTCAAAAAATGATTGTTTGAGCTGAAATATGAATTAACTGTCATCACATATGTGGGGATGACTGTCATAAAGTCGAGTAGGATCATAGAATATTGTCTTTTACATAGTTTATTTCATGTTTTGGTCATTTTCTTGTTGCAGCAGATATGTCATGGACAAGAATTTTAGTGCACGGCAAGGGGAAATATATTCTTCTGCACATAAGGTATATTTCCATTACCATGTACAATATGTTCAAAATACGTTGCTCCAATGGTTATGTATCTACTGGTGGTCTTGCTATCAGAATGATGTTCAAAACTTTGCTTGAGAATGTTGTGCATATCAGGGAGAAAAAACTTCTGTTGCAAACAAGCTGGTATCTTTTCATAATCACATACAAATTTTGTTCAAACTATAGTGCTACCTTGTTTATTTTTTATTACTTTTTCTTTGCTATCAGTTTGTTGCCCAGACAAAAAAACAACAACAAAAGGTGCTAGTGCATGCAGTAAGAGTTCTCGAAGTGGGATGGATGCCAATAAACTACCTGTAAGTGTTCCTCTATTTTGTTTCTGTCTTCTCATATGGTAACTTTTATTTTCTCTAACAGGTAGGAACTCAAGTATTCTTGAAGAGCCTGAACAAAATCATAACAAGGGCGTAGCTCCAGCTACAATCGTAAGTTTCGATCATAAATTTTGAACTTGATGATTCTGAAATTAGAAATGAATTATGGGCAGTGCATGTTGATATGGCACTCGTGCAAACTGAAAATTTGTAATGAAGTCGCAAAAACTGCAATACGCTCGGTAATGCAGAAAAAGCAAAGATTGCATGACCTTCAAAATTTGTACGTGACTAATATCTTGCCTCTATTACTACTCACATCATGTCAATGCATTGTGTGCGAATAGTTTATTATGTTTTCTTGTGTGTTGATTCAGAAGATAAATGAATGAGTACGTGGGAGCATGGCGATTATACCGCAATGATGATGTCGCTGATCTGTTTCATGATGATGATGATGGATGCTTTTAGTTTTTAGTTATGTTGTAGTGATGACGTTCCTAGCGGATGTTTTCCTCAGTTAAGATGGATATTTCCAGTTCAAGTTTCATTGTCAAGAAAATTGTTGGATTATGCATCACATTTGGATGATGTTCCTCCTGAAATAACCAGTATTATAATCCAACCGTTTTGATCTAACATATGATTTCTTCCTCTCGTGAGTATATTGTCTTGTTTTTACTTCACTTGAAATACATAATTATCGCCTTTACATGGAGCATTAATTTAATTCCTAGCAATATATATAATATTATTATTCACACTTTATATGTACCAACACTGGAAAGGTTGGAAATTCTCCGTTGCTAAGCAATTGGATTGTGATTCCTGTACATTAAGAAAAACATATAAAATTGTTGTAAAAATCTATTTTATCTATTGTACTCTTGCGGCGGTCCCTTTTACCAACGATTGTATAAGCGTTTATTTGCTAGCAACACTAGATAAGACTATGTATCACAAACCTTTCGTAAGGATACTAGCAATGTATATATGGACATTTATATACGGAAAAAGGCATTGCTATAGGGGGGTCCTGTTGGAGTGCCATCCCTATGCACTGTATTTTTCGGGAGCCGGAAACATTGCGCTCGGGGATAGTAATGTGCCCGTTGTTTTTGTTTTTTATTTATTTTTGGATAAACAACATATAATTATTTTGACCTTTATCACATTTGTACTAAACTATTATACATATCTAATATATGTGAAAACTTAGAATGTACAAATAGAAGTTACATTAGTTTTAGTCTTTTCAATATATTGCATTTTTAAAGAAATATTCATACAAAACCCTTTAAATGTGAGAAATGGGGGAAGACAAGTTGACATGTCTTTCGGATTAATTTCTGACACCTGCACGGATGTAGTGTTGTGTTTATCTATCTCTTTAAGTATCTTGATAGAGATCTCTATAGTCAATGGTATAAAATATATCTACATGATGGTTTCTAGTATATGCTTAGATATACACATCTAGATAACTGAAAAGTATGTAAGATGTTTACGAGGAGCTTCTGCTAGTATGATTAACATAGGAAATCAGCACGAGACAGCGGGAGGAGCGAGGAGGGATAACCAATGTGCATGTATCCCCATTTATAACGCCAACCCCTCCCGACTTGCTGCAAATCTTAAGAACGCGGACACCCGATGGTATAGGAGTCCAACTTCAAACAAATTTGGGATCCTTTGTATGTGCGAGAAGAGTTATGCTCAACAGGAGGGAGTAGGTCAGCACTAACAACTTCATTCCCCCCGAGAACAAAGCAGTGGCGTCAACCAAGGATCGCTATCCAGGATTCTATGAAATGCGGAACATTCATTCAGGCCCCAACTCTCCATAACGACACGAAAATTGGTTTTGCCTGCCAAGGTTAGCCACTATGCGGTTGATGGCCTTGTCGGCGCCGTCAAACGCGGGAAGGTCTGAGGCCAGATTCCATGGCTTCACTATTGGTCTATGAAGGCGCTTGTGCCAATCCTAGTCATACACCTACGACATGGAGAGAAGACCCAAGAAGGAAGCAAGCAATAGGTAGCGATTGCAACCGGAGTGGCGTGATCATCGAAGTCATATGTTGTTGTTGGTAGCTTGACACAGGTGGGGCGCACATGCATGCCTCTCCTCTCTCCTTTCGTCTTTTTTTGTTGGGACCATGCATGTGGTGTTTTTGTTTTTAATAACAAGTTTTGGGAATTTCCAAATTCTGGATGTTTGATTTTTCGAAGTTCTAAAATCCAATTTTTGTAATTGAACGTAGGATATTGTTATTATGTAGGTGTATATTCTAAGCAAGAGTACCGGCCAGAGCAAACTTGTAACCAGTGTACCATACTATCAGCTCGATTG